TGGGGTAGAGAGAAGAAACCGATTATATCACCTGATTGATTGACTAGCACACATGTGACAGAAGACAAGTCAACTGGAACATTACTCGATTTATCTTCAATTCCGATCTGGTTCCTGATTTCAGATCAGTGTAAAAAGATACATAAATAAATAAATGACTAACTCGATCACAACGTACAATAATTAGGAAAATACAATTATGTCCAAAATTGGGGAATTAGAGTAGAAAAATAGAGTACAAAAGATTACATTTAAATTACAATAACTTTGAAACAAAAAGGGCTATGACAGTGAATCATACATCAAACGAAAGCTTATGATATGGAGAATAGACTAGGGACAAAAATAAATGTTAATGTTTTACAAGCTTTGAATCAAATGAAATAATATCCCCCCCCCAAAAAAAGTAGCTTCTATAGTTTGTCAAGACTTCTTGTTTCTCTGTTCATATGAATTAGTAGGGAAGAAAAAATAATTGATTTCTCAATAATTAAATAAATATATTAATAATAATAATAATAATAATAATATCATTGGAATAGTTTGATTTCAATTACATGATCATTTGAACCAATCATTGAATAGAAAAATAATTAACCAATGAAAATTGTCTATGTATTTTTATTAACCAATAGAATTCTAGTTTGATTTAAGGTCATATAAGCGGGCATATCAACTGTTAATTTATATAAATGAATTAGATTTAAACGAAGTTCAACTAAAACTATTCATTTGTGATTCAATTCATTTATAATAATAATAATGAATAGAAGACCATCAGGATTTTCAAAACCTCCAATAATTGGTTCAAGATCTGTATTAATTGCTATCGATGGTTCTGAACATTCAAAAAAAGCATTTCAATATTATTTAAAATGGTTACAAAGATCAGATGATACAATCACAATTTATCATGCTGTAGAACCAGTCTCATTACCAACTATATCATTATCAAATCCAATTAGTATACCAAGTGATGAATGGTCAAATATTGTTGAAGTCAATGTAAAACGTGTACGTGAATTAGAACATGATTATAGTACAGATTGTTTAGCACATAATTTAACTTATCAATTTTTATATGAATCAGTCAATCATATTGGTGAATCAATTATTAGAAAAGCGGAACAAATCAATGCATGTTTAATTATTATTGGTAGTCGTGGTTTAGGTGCTATAAAACGTACCATTATGGGAAGTGTTAGTGATTATGTTGTACATCATGCGAATACAACAATTTGTGTTGTACCATGGATTGATGAAACTTCACAAAATACATCATAATTCATTAAATGATTTCACCATAATCAAATATAGATATATATATGTATACAGATATTACGTAATCAACATGTATATGATATAAGGGTTTGTTATATTCGATCTGTGTGTATGTGTGTGTGTAACTCATCGATTTCTTTTTGTCATGGCAACTATTTTAAATTGAATTTTTGTTGTTGTAGAAACTACAATTTAGTTGTGTTTTTTTCATTTTGTTTGTATGTCATATAGTAAAGTATATATATACATATATGTTTCTTTATATTTGCGCCATAACATTCTGATTACATTTTGGAATAGTGATTCTATTCCTATGAAGTCATACTTTTCTTTTCCATAAAAGAACGATACATAAATAGAGAGTGAGAGCGAGCAAAAGGGACAGAGGGAAAGATTGAAATATTCGATGGAAAACGTTTTCATTATTTACTACTTTTTCTACTCATTTAACTGTTATCATTTGAATCTTCACTTAACGCAAGTAAATATAATTAGTAGAACATCATTATTTAGACTTTTTGTTTTTACAATGTTAGGTGGGCCCATTTCTATAAAGAAAAATCGATGTCTAATAGTTAGAGATGTTGTTACTAGATCAGTCAGTCAGTAACAACTTAGAACTTCGTACGTACATACATCAGTTCGAGTTGCCACACCACATTAGCACAGAGATACAATTGTCGATTCAAATCCCGTAGTGATAGAGGCGGTAAAAGTATAAGCAGTATTCGGAAACAATAGGGTTTGAAGATGCTATTTAAAGAGTATAATCCAGTGGAATATATTTAGGAAGAGAAAAAGAGACAAGGAGGAGTCAGGAGATTAGAATTTGGGTGAACACAAAGAGTGTATGCACCTCCGCCATTGCAAACGATTTTGAGCCATGTCATGTTACTAGATGATTTAGCCTAATGTTGAATTTATTTATGATTATCTGAAATCGATGATTTCATATTCATTAATGAAGAATAATCAATTCTGTATTAAATAATCTTTAGTGTGAATCAATTAGTTCATTATACCAACAACAACAACAACAACAACAACAACAACAACAACAACAACAACTGTGTACTACAATGTCAAATTAGAAGGAATCGATTGTGTTCCCAATAGTTCACTTGTAATATTTTTAATAATCAAATGTATTTGAATTTTACAATGACTTTATATTCCTTTAACAATATAAAGGAGAATTTAAATTTCACCTCATTGCATAAGCAAATGACTATCAGGATTCAGTAGTTAAGTGGATAATGTGATGGCGTTTAGAGTGAACGGTACTAGGTTCGAGTCTTAGAGTGAATATCAACTCTGAGATGCAGATACATCCAAATGACAAGTCCTAAATAGGACGAAACGCGCATCAAACTGGATTCCACTTCTAGCCACTATCCATCTTTACTTAGAATGCTTGTGAATCAAGGCAATATCGAGGCAATACGCACAGTATGTACATATGCCAATAAGAGACTGATCAATTTCAGTCCTAAACATCAATGGGAAGATTCAAGTAAAACAATACCAAGTGAATTTAAGGTGTAGTTTTTCCTGTTACTTTCATTTAACTATCTAATATCAAACGAAACTGGACCATTATGTTAAGTTATTTAGACTAAACTTCATTTAAGAGCTTAGTGAACAGAATTATATTAACACTTTAAAAGATTAGAAATTATAATATTGATTACTCAAACAGTTATGGATTATTGTAAATTTTCCTTCTTGGTACCAAAACAACATTTATGAGTGAACAATATTCTTTCTAGTCATATTGTTATTAGATTCCATACTAACATTAAATAAGCATTTGTGTAAAATACTGAATTTGTATCTACCATGCTACCAGATAACATACTCAACGAATAAGCTATAACCTCTTCTCATGATTTAGCAAGAATTTGAGGAGATCTCTGTATGACTCCATTCAATCATATTGTGATGTGTGCTACTGATGTCAACAGATATAAGTAGTATGTATCATCAATCGAAAGTGAAATGAATGGTAGCAGAAGGTTAAGAACATCGAAGAAAAGAGAATGATTGCTGTAGTAATGAAGGAACAGTGAAGTCTAAAATGATTGATTAACATTTTGCAAATGACGTATTTACTGTATGGTTCTTAGATTTTACTAACAGATTCTGTAACTTTGTGTTCAATTAGATTCGATTATCCCCACTTATGTTCTAGTTCACAACCATACGTGGTCTGTAGTAGTCACATCTTGACATTTGAATTGAGAATTGTGACTTTGGTGTTGGTTGACAGAAAGTTGTTTTGAGTTTCAGATGTTCTTCAATTGTAGATATGCTGTTCTGGTCATTATTCGTAGTATTCACTACTATATCTTTTATCTTACTATTAGTTTGTACTTCTTACTCAATATAATTAATTACATAATCCTTCCTCTATTGTTATTACTAAACCCATAAACTAATTAAGTTATTTGAATACTTTACATACACAATATTTGAATATTAGATGCATTTGTTAAATATCTGTATTTATGGTTAGAATGGAGTTGAAAATACTTTAATATTTATATTATACTCATTAAAATTCTATATCAAAAAGGAAGATAGCTTAATCTGTAATATTAAGTAATTAATGTAAATAAAGAAGTAGGTAAGTAGATGTTAATCTTACTTACTTACGCCTGTTACTCCTCGTGGAAGAGCATAGGCCACTCACAAGCACTCTCCATTCAACCCTATCTTCGGCAAACCTTTCCAGATCTTTCCAGTTGTTATTCATCCTTTTCATATCTGCTTCTATTTCCCAACTTAATGTGTTCTTTGACCTTCCTCTTTTCCGCTTCCATTCAGGATTCCAAGTTAGGGCTTGCCTCGTGATGCAGTTTGATGATTTGCGTAATGTATGTCCCATCCATTTCCATCGTCTTTTCCTAATTTCTTCTTCAGCTGGAAGCTGGTTTGTTCTCTCCCAAAAAAGGCTGTTGTCAGTGGTATGCGGTCAATGGATGATAAGCATCTTGCGTAGACAACTATTTATAAACACCTGTACATTTTTGATGATGGTTGTAGTACTTCTCCAAGTTTCAGCTCCGTACAGTAGAACTGCCTTGACGTTCATATTGAAGATTGTGACTTTGATATTGGTTGGTAATATCTATTAGCGTTAAATATATATAATATAACTGTTTAACTTACGTAATCTTACGTTGAAATTACATTATACGAATGATTGGTTGGATCGATCTATTGTAATCTGATAGCTAGACTATTCATCATTCATAGAATACTTGAAAGCATTAAGAATCTCATTGTGAAAGGAATTATTCAGTAAGAACAATTCATGAGAGTTCATATAGATAAACTGAAACTTCATTTTTGATTGAGATCATGAACCGATTGATGTTAGACCACCGTTGGAAACCTGGAAGCACTGGACGGCCGTTTCGTCCTATTGTGGGACTCCTCAGTAGCGCGCACCCACGATCCCGCTTGCGCGCGAACACTTAACCTACTGGACCACTGAGCCGGCATCCAATGGTGATAGTGTCTAACATCAACCAATCCACGAAATTGCTTCACATGTCGAAACTATGTTATCAATTGGCTAATAAACGTTAGTCACTGTTGACCTTAACGAAGTTCAGTAAATAATTCAATATTCGATAATCAGTTTTGTACAGCCTAAATACATTCAACATTGTAAATGTTTTGTCTAAGGTTCAATAATATTTTTTTGACCCTACATGAATATATTATCGAATAAACAATCAATAGTAGTTCAACTTAAGGTCAGATACTATATCCTTAGTTTTGTAAGATACTTTTCAGGATATAAAGGTATATTTATTATCGAAAAGTTCCATTTTAATTTGTTTAAGTAAAGAAATCTAGAATTAATATCAAAAGGGGGTTTTTGTAAAGATTGCTGTAATTTAATAGCTAAGTTCATGAGTCAATTGAAGTTAGACCACCATGGAAAAACTGGAAGCACTGGATGACCGTTTTGTCTTCACTGAAGATAATGGTGAATGTTTCGCTCAATTTCGTGGATTAGTTGAAGTTAAATATTAATACCGTTGGATGTCGTCTCAGTGGTCTGGAGGTTAATCGTTCTCACGTCTGACCGATAGGTTCTGGGTTCTGATCTTGCAAGGTAGGATCGTGGATGAACGCTGCTGAGGAGTCCTACACTAGGACGAAATGGCCATCTAGTGCTTCCAATTTCTACAAGATGTTCTAGTTTCAACTAACTCATGATCTCAACCATTAAACGTATCTAGAAGTGGAAAATTGACAATACGGTTTGTGTAATAATTCTAGAAAAAGTAAAGAGTTTTCACAAAGTTCGGAAACTGGATGGAATAAAAATCATTCAGTGAATTAGGTAATTTCAAAGTGAATGAAATAACAATTAGTTAAGTAAAAATCACCTAACATAATGTAAATAATTCTACTGAGACAATAACGGCTACTACTTCTACTATTAATGTAGTGAACGAAGACTTCACCAAATTACACAGTGCTTTGTAAAATATGAAAACCATACATTACACACATCATTTGTATGTCTTTCTTCAGTTATCCCTCACACATTCATCATCATCATCATCATCATCATCATCATCATCATCATCATCATCATCATCATCATCATCATCATCATCATCATCATCATCATCATCATCATCATCATCATCATCATCATCATCATCATCATCATCATCATCATCATCATCATCATCATCATCATCATCATCATCATCATCATCATCATCATCATCATCATCATCATCATCATCATCATCATCATCATCATCATCATCATCATCATCATCATCATCATCATCATCATCATCATCATCATCATCATCATCATCATCATCATCATCATCATCATCATCATCATCATCATCATCATCATCATCATCATCATCATCATCATCATCATCATCATCATCATCATCATCATCATCATCATCATCATCATCATCATCATCATCATCATCATCATCATCATCATCATCATCATCATCATCATCATCATCATCATCATCATCATCATCATCATCATCATCATCATCATCATCATCATCATCATCATCATCATCATCATCATCATCATCATCATCATCATCATCATCATCATCATCATCATCATCATCATCATCATCATCATCATCATCATCATCATCATCATCATCATCATCATCATCATCATCATCATCATCATCATCATCATCATCATCATCATCATCATCATCATCATCATCATCATCATCATCATCATCATCATCATCATCATCATCATCATCATCATCATCATCATCATCATCATCATCATCATCATCATCATCATCATCATCATCATCATCATCATCATCATCATCATCATCATCATCATCATCATCATCATCATCATCATCATCATCATCATCATCATCATCATCATCATCATCATCATCATCATCATCATCATCATCATCATCATCATCATCATCATCATCATCATCATCATCATCATCATCATCATCATCATCATCATCATCATCATCATCATCATCATCATCATCATCATCATCATCATCATCATCATCATCATCATCATCATCATCATCATCATCATCATCATCATCATCATCATCATCATCATCATCATCATCATCATCATCATCATCATCATCATCATCATCATCATCATCATCATCATCATCATCATCATCATCATCATCATCATCATCATCATCATCATCATCATCATCATCATCATCATCATCATCATCATCATCATCATCATCATCATCATCATCATCATCATCATCATCATCATCATCATCATCATCATCATCATCATCATCATCATCATCATCATCATCATCATCATCATCATCATCATCATCATCATCATCATCATCATTTCGATCACCCTTCGTTCTCCTTTCTCTTCTACTGGTTAGCAGTTCGTAGAGGAGAATGTAACTAAAAAAAACAATAATCTATCATAACAATGATAAACTGACAATTACTCCTTACCGAAAGAACAAATTCAACTTATATAAATCAATAATAGATTTGTAGATATCCCAATGAGTAGAAAAATTAGATTTTCTGACGTTTCGTGACTTAGTGTGAGCCACTTCTTTAGAAAAATAAATGAACAAATTCAAATTAATCATTCTTATCGTTCCGTTGTACTATTTAAACTTGGATTAATTTTAATTTGGTTATTTATTTGCTCTGAAGAAGTGGCTTACACTAAGTTACGAAACGTCAGAAAATCTAATTTTTCTACTCAATATTTACTTACTTACTTACGCTTGTTACTCCCAGTGGAGCATAGGCAGCCGACCAGCATTCTTCAACCCACTCTGTCCATGGCCTTTCTTTCCAGTTCTATTCAATTTTTGTTCATTCTTCTCATGTCTATCCCCATTTCTCAGAGTAGTGTGTTCTTTGCTCTTCCCCTTCCTCCCCTTTGGTCTTGAGGATTCTGTGTGAGGACTTGCCTTGTGATGCAGTTGGGTGCTTTTCTCAATGTGTATCCTATCCACTTCCAGCACTTCTTCTTGATTTCTTCCTCCAATGTAATCTGGTTTGTTCTCTCCCACAGTAGGTTGTTGATGATAGTGTCTGTCCAACAGATCTGAAGTATTTTGCATAGACAGCTGTTAAGAAACATCTGTATGTTCTGGATGATGGTTGTGGTAGTTCTTCAAGTTTTCGCCCCAGTAGACAGTAGAACTGTCTTGACATTTGAATTGAAAATTGTGACCTTGGTGTTGGTTGACAGAATGTTGCTTTGAGTTCCAGATGTTCTTCAGTTGTAAATATGCTGCTCTTGCTTTGACGATCCGCGCTTTCACATCTGCATTAGATCCATCGTGTTCATCAATGATGCTGCCCAAATATGTAAAGGTTTTTACATCTTCCAAATCTTCTCCGTCAATTGTGATCGGATTGGTGCATGCTGTGTTGTATCGGAGAATTTATTGTTTATTTATTTATAACAATCTACCAGTCGCTCAATTTATTCGAAATTATCAAGTCAAACCTTGGTAGTGATACATACAAACTCTACAATTTCTTGTCAAATACATTCGATTGTCCCACTGGTGTTGTTGTTTACTACAATGTAACCGTACTGTATACGTCTATGATACCTTTTAATCTGAGGGTTCATTTTTGAACGTGCTTACTTACGTACTTACTTGCACGCGTTACTCCTAATGGAGCATTGGCCAGCGATCAGCATTTTCGAACGTGATTAGAGATATTAATAAGACTTTGAGATAGGTTGAGTTGATAAATTGATTCTTCTATGTAGGACTAATGACTGAATTGTGTATAGTTACGATATTCACGATAGTTAGGTGTTATTTCCCGGTAAGAATAATGAATGGTAACTGTTGGGATCCATTTATGGAATATTACTACACGTAGATGTTTATCGTACAATTGTTAACTTACTAAACTACTCATATCCATGTCGCTCTTATTATAAGCTTTAATTTGACCCATAGACTACTATTATACGATTTACCGTTCTTGAGCCATATCCAGTCTATCAATTACAGTCTCCCACATTCACAGACACATTTGGCTAAATCTTGTACAAATGTGATTTTCTATTTTCTGGTGTGATGTGGTCTGTTTGGTTTGTACATAAACTCAGTATGTTTGAAATACATGATTCATATTGCATAGGCTGAGATTGATATTCTGGACTCTAAGAGGCAGGGTTAGGCAGAGAGAAGAACCGATAAGGACTCTAGACTGCTCGTACAAGTTTTATAGGTCATCGATCCAGTTGACAATTCACTATTCTCTAATCAGCGGTATCATTATGTTATACAAAGGGCGGCCTGCTTGAGCATCTGGGCTACCTGTTCCTGCCATCTAGATATTTCAACAAGTTATCTATTTTTGTTTGTTTTAATATATGTCATTATGTCTATTCATCGCATAAGCTATCCTGGTGCATTTCTGAAAAGTGTACAACCTATCGTTGTCAAAGTTACAAAAAACTCAATAAGAGACAATGTGGTTGCTGGCAATATACAACGAAAATAATGTACATTATTAAGATGTTCATTCACTGAAGTGCTAACATCTAACTGGCGATCACTCAATATTTATCGTCACGATCGACCAAGAAGTAAGAAGCGGAAACTTGTTGAAATACTTTGTGCTGAGAATTCTATATTGTACCATAAAATATAATATTGAATAAAGCTGATGGTAATAATAATAATACATTGATAGGGGTACAAACCCACAAGTGATAAAAGTTTAAATACGAAATATTCAACTGAATTAAATATGAGTTCGTTGAAATTAAACACTAGTGTTTATGTTTGTGTTAGAACTCAAAATTAGTATCTTTCTCTCTGAATCCTTAACTCATAATCAACTGAGCTACTGTGTCAGAATAGCTACCAACTTATTCAAATAGTACAATATATTTGTATGGTTATTGATAGGAAAGGTTTGAATGATCACTATTTTGATGAAGTTTTATTCTCTGAGCTGGATGGTTTGGTCGTGGAGCTTTCATCGTTCTTCTCCGCGACCAAACCATCCAGCTCAGAGAACAAAACTCCATCAAAATCATCCACCTGAGCTACAAATCTTCTCCACCATCTCGAATTATCCCTATCTTGATATTCTGAAATGAATTATTATGATCAAGACGAAATAAATATTCTAGATTCTACTGTGAGTTACAAACCATCTTTTTAATAATTTAACTATTTATTGTTATTACTACTTCATTATAAACATAAATTTAATGGGAAGCGAATTAAGTGAAGTGAATCAAAGCAATACCGATGCAATACGCACAGTATGTACTGATCAATTGTAGTTCTAAAAATCAATGGGAAGATTCAAGTAAAAAGAATAGTAAGTGAATTTAATCTTCACCCCATTGTACAAAAAAGTGACTATTAGGATTCAATAGCTAAATGGATAACGTGATGGCGGTTGAAGTGAATGATACTGGTTTCGAGTCCCGGAGTGAACATCAACAAATGCAGATACGTCCAACTGATGAGTCCCAAATAGAACGAAACGCTCATCACACTAGATTCTGTTATAACTTGTCGTTTGAATGCTTCTTGTCTTGACTCTTTTTTAATGCTACTTTTTGTATCTGGTCGTCGTTGATTGTTTTGTTGGAAACGCTTACCACTTATACTAAGAACGAGGGACCTCTGCAGTTCCTACGACGCGAAAGTAAGAACACAAAGACTGGTATAAGTGATGATTTATTAACCCCAAAACACGACAACGACGACGACGATTCTAGTCTAAAATACACTCATTTATATATTGATTGAACACCCATTTTGATTAATAATTAGGATGAAATCACAAACTAAGCATAGTTCATGTCAATGGAATACAAGAATATCTCATATATTATACAGAATAAAATATCATAGGAAAAAAGAAAAGAAATACTACATTGAGTAATTATTACATTGAATCAAAACGGAAGTAGTTTTGAGCCAAAACTCATAATGAGTAAATCAATAGAAAATTGACTTCTCTTTCCATCATATCAAATCCCACTACTAGACACTATCCATCTTTTTGTAAGGAATGATGAATAGTGGCTAGTAGTGGAATCCAGGACACGCGTTTCGTCCTATTTGCAACCCGTCAGCTGGATATACCTGCATCTCAGAGAGTTGATGTTCACTCTGGGACTCGAACCCAGTACCATTCGCTTCAAACGCCGTCGGGTTATCCACTTAGCTACTGAGTCCTGATGGCCAGTTGCTTGTGCAATCGTAAGATACAAGCCCAACAATACCAAGTGAATTATCCATTTTTGCTTATATAAAGACTTGATCTAATCTTCATTAACTAAATAAGTACATAGAATAAAATGAACGAGGTCATTTGACAAAGTTAACAAAATTCGACAGTATTATCATACTAATTCTATTCATTAAATGATTCTATAAGTGATTATTTATATTACCAAATGAATAGAACTAGGATAGTACCCTGTTTTTTAAAAAAATTTTATTATACACAAACAACTTAGCCTGATTGAATATAAATAAACAAAAGATTTTATGATTCATTCAATCAAATATGTAAACGAATTTCAATGTAACAACGGATAGGTTCCCGTTTTTTTTTCTGTATCATTCCCAGTGTGAATGTTTAATATACAATTAAGTACATTGTATTATCTTAACTAAATACATAGTGTATAGATAAGAGTTAGTGTAAACAATTGAATCCACTCGATTATAGTTATGCAATTATATTATATTATATTTGTGAAATACTATACAGTCATTATTGTAAGTGTAAGACGACTAGAACGGATTGTTCAGGGAAGAGTTCGATGGAATATACTGGGAGGAATTCTATGCTCCTTTATGAGGGGTAACAGGTATAAGTAAGTAAGTAAGTAAGTAAGTAAGTAAGTAAGTAAGTAAGTAAGTAAGTAAGTAAGTAAGTAAGTAAGTAAGTAAGTAAGTAAGTAAGTAAGTAAGTAAGTAAGTAAGTAAGTAAGTAAGTAAGTAAGTAAGTAAGTAAGTAAGTAAGTAAGTAAGTAAGTAAGTAAGTAAGTAAGTAAGTAAGTAAGTAAGTAAGTAAGTAAGTAAGTAAGTAAGTAAGTAAGTAAGTAAGTAAGTAAGTAAGTAAGTAAGTAAGTAAGTAAGTAAGTAAGTAAGTAAGTAAGTAAGTAAGTAAGTAAGTAAGTAAGTAAGTAAGTAAGTAAGTAAGTAAGTAAGTAAGTAAGTAAGTAAGTAAGTAAGTAAGTAAGTAAGTAAGTAAGTAAGTAAGTAAGTAAGTAAGTAAGTAAGTAAGTAAGTAAGTAAGTAAGTAAGTAAGTAAGTAAGTAAGTAAGTAAGTAAGTAAGTAAGTAAGTAAGTAAGTAAGTAAGTAAGTAAGTAAGTAAGTAAGTAAGTAAGTAAGTAAGTAAGTAAGTAAGTAAGTAAGTAAGT